CGCAGGAGCCTGCCGGCGAGGCGGCGGCCGCCCCGCCGCCGCCGGCGAGGCGGCGGCCCCCGCGCGCGAAGGAGGCGCCAGCGCCGCGGGGCGCGCACCGCCGTGGCGTCGGCGGTCTGGATGCTGATGCTGCCGCTGCTGCTGCTGCTGCTGCTGCCGATGCTGATGCTGATGATGATGACACAGATGGTGACGATGACGATGATGACAGTGGTGATGATGATGCTGATGCTGATCATGCTGATGACGATGACGATGACGATGATGATGATGATGATGATGATGATGATGATGATGATGCTGATGACGATGATGATGATGATGATGATGCTGATGCTGATGATGCTGATGATGATGATTATGATGCTGATGGGTACGTAATGATGATGATGATATTGATATCGATGATGCTTTCATGTCGATGCTGATTATGATGATGTTGATGATGATATTGATGATGATGCTGATGCTGATGATGATGATGATGATGTTGATGATGATGATGAAGGTGGTGGCGATGGTGGTGGTGGTGGTGGTCATGATGATGAATGGGATGCAGAGGTTGATAGTGATCATGTTGTTGATGATGATGATGATGATGATGATGATGATGATGGTGACGACGTTGGTGGCGGCGGTGGTGGTGGGGTTAAGTAATATGATCCTGATGTTGCTGATGCTGATGACGATGATGCTAATTATGCTGATTCTGATGGTGGAGATGATGGCAACGGTGGTGCTGCTGGTGATGATGCTGATGCTGATGCTGATGCTGATGCCGATATTGATGATGATGATGCTGATGATGATGATGATGATGATGATGATTCTGATGGTGGCGGTGGTGGTTCTGGTGATGATGACGGTGATGCTGATGATGTTGGTAATGCTGGTGATGATGATGATGCTGATGATGCTGGTGATGATGATGCTGATGATGGTGGTGATGGCGGTGATGATGCCGACGTTGGTGATGTACATGGTGATGGTGGCGGTGGCAATTGTGGCCGTAATGGTGGTGGCGGTGGTGAATCTGATGTTTGCCATGTTGATAATGAGCATGCTGCTGATGGGGATGGTGCTAATGATGATGTCGGCGATGATGGTTGCGATGATGATGATGATGGTGATGCTGATGGTGGTGGTTGCGGTGGCGGTGGTGGTGAAGATGAATGTGATGATGCTGGTGTTGTTGGTGATGATGGCGGTGGCGGCGTTGATGGCGACGGTGGTGGTGCTGATGATGATGATGGTGGTGGTGGTGGTGGTGGCGATGGTGGTTGTGGTGGTGTTGATGAATATGATGCTGATGATGCTGGTAACGCTGATGATGATGTTGGTGATGATACTGGTGGTGGCGATGATGGCGTCGGTGGTGTAAATGACGGTGGTGATGATGATGTTGGTGATGGTGGCGGTGGTGGTGGTGATGACGAACATGATGCTGATGATGTTGTTGATGACGCTGATGATGATGATGATGGTTGCGATACTGGCGACGGTGGTGATGATGATGCTTGTGGTGTCGGTGATGGCGCTGGTGGTGGTGATGATGCATGTGATGCCTATGATACTTATGCTGATGATCCTGATGACGATGGTGGTGATGGTGGCGGTGATGATGGCCACGGTGGTAAGGACGCTGATGATGGTGATGATGATGTTGATGGTGATGGTGATGACGGTGGTGGTTGTCGGGTCGGGGTGGTGGCTGTTGTGGCGGTGATGGTGATGTTGGCGATGATGGCGACGGTGCTCATGATGAAGATGCTGATGATGATGCTTGTGGTGGCGGTGGTGGTGATGGCCCTAGTGGTGATAATGATGGTGGTGCTGCTGATGATGATGATGAAGGTGATGGTGGTGTTGATGATGGCGACGGTGGTGATGCTGATGAGAAGGGTTGTGGTGATGAAGGCTGTGGTGGTCGTGGCGATGATGAATATGATGCTGCTAGTGCTGACAATGGTGATGAAGGCCACAATGCTGGTGATGCCGATGATGATGCTGATGATTGCCATGCTGATGAGGACAATTATTCTGATGACGATGTTGATGATGGTGGCGATGATGGCGACGTTGGTGGTGATGATGATGGTGGTGGCGGTGGTGGTGGTAATGATGAGCATGCTGATGATAGTGATGAAGGTGGTGATGATGTTAATGATGGTGATGATCATGATGGTGTTGATGATGATGGTGATGATGGTCATGATGATAATGCTGCTGATGGTGGCGGCGATGATGGCAACGGTGGTGCTGATGGTGAGGGTGATGATGAGTATGGTGATAATGTTGGCGATACTGATGCTGATGATGGTGATGTTGATGGTGATGTCGATGATGATGAAGGTCATGATGGGGTCGGTGATGATGATGACGATGATGGTGGTCATGATGGTGATGCTGATGGTGATGACACTGTTGTTGCTGATGGTGATGATGCTGGATATTATGATGATGCGTATGGTGGTGGTGGTGATGATGATGATGATGGCCGCGATGAGGATGCTGTTGATGATGATTATGCTGATGCTGATGGGATTAACGGCGCTGACTGCGACGGTGATGAAGATAGTGGTAATTAAATCTATGCGTATGAGGAGGAAGAGGGAAGTGGGAGGTGGTCCAAGGATGAGGAGGGCTTTAGGATGCGTCCTTTTTCTCCCAGAGGTTCTGAGAGGGGCCTCTGGGAGGATGGAGGGGGGTGATGCGGGTAGAAGAAGCGGGGAGAGGGTGGGAGTTGTGTTAGTTGTTTGCGAGGTCCTCCCCCATCTTCCCTTTCACCTCAGCTCTCCTCCATCGTTTCTCTTCCGCCTCTTTCTTCCCTGTATCCCTTCATCCTCTTACCCCCGCCTCCCTCCTCCCCCATCCCCTCCTCCCCCTCCTGCCTCCTCCCCGCTTCCTCCGTCCTCCTCTCCGCAGTCTTCTCTTTCCTCCTCAATGCTCCTCCTCCTCCTCCTCCTCTTCTCCCTCCTCCTCCGTATTCTCTTTAGCCCTTTTCGCTGCGGGCGTTTCCAGTATCAGTCTGCATCGCGCTCCCGCCTGCCCGGGCTCGGCTCGAGCTTTCGTGAGTCCGAGGGCGCGCTTCTTGTAACTTCGGCCAGAAGTCCTCGGCGGGTGCACAGTCAAGGCGGCTCCGGGGTTGTGGCTCCTCGGGAGTTCCGCTCACCCAAGGGCTTCTACATCTTCGCGGTGCACGCGCTCCAGCACTCACGTTCAAGAACCTCACGCCCCGAGCGTGTTCCTCCCTCCTTCTGCGCGCTCCTTTTCCTCCTCCTCCTCCTCCTCCTCCTTCGCCTGCTGTGGCCAATTCGGCCCCGTTGCGCCCCACGGCTGCCCCCGAGCGCGGCGAGTGCTCCTCGCCGCTGCAGCCGACAGGCGTGCACAGCCGAGGCGCTGTGCTGGCCGCTGACGGGATCCGGGTCGGGGAGCCTCCGTCGTGGCCGAGAGGCGGGCCGTGGCCGCGCAGGGCCCCATCCGCTCCTGCTTTGGCGTTGCTGCCGGTGGCGCGGTGGCTGTGCCCCTGGGCGGGCCCTGGGCGACCCGCGGCTGGCATCAAGTCGGGCATGTCCCTCTGCAGTAGGCATGTGCAAAACTAGTAAAAAAAGAATCGTCTGGGGACGTCCTTTTGTATATGTCTTAAGATATAACAAATAACCACAAACAGGGGGGGGGGCGGAAAAAAAACAGTTGTTGTTCGCTTTTCCTCCAAAGTCCGCCTGTAGGAGGACGTGCCCGACCCAAGACTGGCAGGCCCTGCGCGCTCGCCCCGGCTCCTGCGCCCGCGGCTCTCCGAGAGGCGGAGGCCTCCGGAGGCCCAGCGCAGGGCCAAGAACGCCAGGACAAGGCGTCGCCCCCCTTCGACCCTCGGGGGTCCTTGCTCGGGGGTCAGTGGCCCTAAAGAGCGAAATCTATCCAGAAATGACAGATAAATATCGAGATGTTCTAGTAAAAGTGGGAGCCTTGATGATTGTAAAGAAAAAATCAAGGTCTGTAAGGTTTACCATTAATATCCCCCGAGGCTCTGTAGCTCAGCTGGTTCCCAGGCAAGGGGACTCGGTTAGTGGTAGGGCCCCGGAGCCCCTGAATTGGCCACAGTCACTGAACCAGGTCTGCCGTGGCTGGTGCTTTTTCGGGTGATGGCAGTTCCGGTCAGTGGAACGGGGCGGGGGGGGCGTCCCCCAGTACACATCACTAAACCAGGTCCCACTAAACCCAGCTCTGCAAACGCCCGACCTGGGTGGAGCCTGGCCTTGGGCGCCCCCGTTGCCCCGCCCCTCGTGGGCCCCTCTCCGTTCTTCCCCGGGGGCGTCCGAGAGGAGGGCAACATAACCCCTAACCCTCATAATGCGATGAAGACGTGGCCTCGCGGAGGTCATTTTTTTCGCCTCAGGGCTAACAGGTGCTGGCGGTTTGGTTCGAGCAGAAAAGACCCCCTATCCCCACTGGTCCCGGCCCTCCCAAATTGTATGGGCGGTTAGGTTCGGTACATCTGCAGAAAGGACCCCCCATCCCTAGTGATCCTGGCCCTCCCAGATTAGGCCGCCTCCCAAAAGTGGTTAGCAGTCCTTCTATGCCTCATCAACTACTCTTGGTTTCTTAATAAAAGTGGGGGGTACCCCCACGGCGGGGGTCAACCTCGCTTCGTCGTCGCGCCGCGACGGGGGTCGGAGCGCCTTCGGCGCGCGGTGGCTGCCCGCGACGGGGGTCGATGTGGGGCTGTCGGCGGGAGTGACGCCCCCCCGACGCTTATCAAGAAAGTCGGCGTAGGGGCCTGGTGGGTATCATGCCTGGGGGCATGGCGCCTCCCAGGTTTCCTTTCCCTGTTCCTCTTCCTGCGGCACGCTTCTCCTCCTCCTCCTCCTCCTCCTCCTCCTTCTCCTCCTCTCCCCCGCCTCCTCCTCTTCCTCCTCCTCCTCCTCCTCCTCCTCCTCCTCCTCCTACTACTACTACTACTCCTACTCCTCCCCTCCTCCTCTTCCTCCTCCTCTTCCTCCTCCTCCAATCCTTCTCCTTATCGATAAATTCTCCCTGTCGCACCCCGAGGCCAGTTCTTAAGGCGGATCGGGCATTTCGCCTGAGACTTCCTCACCATCTAAGACTCTGAAGCTTAAAAAGTGGCAGCAGTTTCACAGATGGAGGGCGGGTGGTTTTCAAAATGTGGCTCTCGCTTTAACGCCGCGCACATTCGTTTTCAACATTTGCTAGGGCTTCACGGATAGAGGGCGGCTCCTTGCCAAAATGTGGCTCTCGCCTGAGCGCCGCGCACAGTCGTTTTCAACATTTGCAAGAGTTTCGCGGATTGAAGTCGGTTCCTTTCCAAAATGTGGCTCTCGCCTTAGCGCCGCGCACATTCGCTTTCAACATGTGCAGGAGTTTCACGGATTCCCACGATCAACGTACCAGAAATGGCGTTTTGGAAGGATTCAGGATTATGCGGGTGCAACAGTTATGTTGATTCGCGGTGGTGAAATCCCAAAAATGGCGTTCTGGCACGGTTCCGGCTCGTCAAGACGCAGCAGTCAGGTTGATACGTGGCGTTGAAATCCTGAGGATAATGTTTTGGCATGCTTCAGGATCTTCAAACGGTTGTCTTCCAACAGGGCAGTTCCCTCAATGGAAATGAACCGTTGCAGGTGCCTATGAAGAGGGAGCTTGGAGGGAGGGTTAATTCTAACATCGTTGATGACTCTTTGGTTTACTGGTCCTCCTCCTCCTCCTCCTCCTCCTCCTGCTCCTCCTGCTCCTCCTCATCCTCTTCCCCCCCCTTCTCCTGCTCCTCCTCCTCCTCTTCCTCCTCCTCGTCCTCGTCCTCGTCCTCGTCCTCGTCCTCGTCCTCGTCGCCCCCCCCCCCAGCCGCGCACGTGCCTCGGGCGCTGTCCCGCCTCGCACGCAGCTCCTGCAGTTGCCACATCAACATGGCTCGCTTCGATCCCTCCGATCCGAATTGATTCGATCTCGATGGCTTCCGATTCCGATTCGATTCGACGAGAGATTCCCATTTGGATTCCGATTTCTCAACGGAGGCTTTCTCGCCTGCGGATCTCCGCCGATTCGGCGTCTCCAGACCCGGCTGCCGGTTTCCGCCGATCCGATTCATTTCGATCGCCGATCCGACTTGTCGATTCGATTTTGGGCCCCCCTGCATCAAAGAAAGCATCGGCCTGCCAGCAGGTGTCCCACGGACGTTTCCTTCTCCCCTTGCTGGTTCCAGCGGCCCCAGAAGCTGTGGGGCACCCTGGGACTCCCAAAAATCGACGGAGAATGTGCCCTCATCTTTCTTGTGGCAAGATTTGTCTTGCCGGATGTGCCTGGTGTGAGCAGGTCCCCAGACATCCGGCGTCCTGGTTTTCTTGAGACACGGGGCCCCCGATCTCTCGACTTCTCCCCTGGGACCCGTTCCTCTTTCCGCGCCGACCTTTGATTGCTCCCAGGGCAGGGCCCCGAGATGCCGAAAACGATAGAAAAAATACATTTTTCGAGATCCCGGTTGTCTGGGTCCGCGCCTCGACGGCAGCGGTCGGACGGGACTAGGACGAGGATCAAATCCGTTCCAGAGCCTTCCAGAACGCTCTCAGAGCGCTGACGCTCTGAGAAGGCTGCGGCGCCCGAGATATTATCCAGAGCCGCCGGATCTCAGATATTCTCGATTTACCCTCCCCGAATTTATCCTCATCTTGGCTTTGTTTGAAGCGGCGTCGGCGGCGGCAGCGAGCGCGAGCGCGCCTGGACAGGCGAGCGGGAGCTCGTCGTCGGGCGCCGCGTGGCAGCCGCTGGCCCGTCAGGGCGCCCAGCCCGCCGCCGGGGGCTCGGCGAAGGCCTGCCGGTCGTCGTCGTCGTCGACGACGTCGTCGTCGCCGTCGTCATCGCCGTCATCGTCATCGTTGTCGTCGCCTTCGTCGTCGTCGTTGTCGCCGCGTCGTCGTCGTCGTCGTCGTCGTCGTCGTCGCCGTGGTCGATCGCAACGAACGAAAGCATGTGAGCACAGGCTTGGATTCTCAAAAGCTTGCGCACTGATTCTTCCATTCTGATCATCACGGCATGTGCTAAACTTTATCCAGGCGGCCTGGAGCAGCTTTTGAGTTGAATGTTTGGCAATGCGTTTCTGTGGGGATGTCGTTCGTGATCTGATGGCTGGAAGAGTGCCAGCATGCAGCCCCGAGATCCACGCAACGCGCAAACAACGCCAGTGCTGGTAAGCCGCCGATTATCATGTAGCTGTTTTTCGAACCTTGGGTCGATCCACCGAGACACATGAGCTCAAAACCGCTGCGAAAGAAATAATTACCCAAGACCTACCCAGGCCCTCCTCCACGCGAGGCGAATCTTTGTATGGACGCTCCACGCGACCTGACACATCATCAGGTATGCGCTGCTCGGACCTCCGCCGTGCCTCCCAGGAGCCCACGAACGTGGCGACAGTTGCGCAGTTCGCGGCCCCCCAGGGAGCTGCGAGGTCTCAAATGGATCCGCGCTGCTCTCACCTCCGCTGTGCCTCCCATGAGCCCACGGAAGTGGCGGTAGGTGTTTAGTGTGAGGTTTCCCGGCGAGTTGAAGGTCTCAAATGTATCTGCACTGCCCCAACTCCGCCGTGCCTCCCAGGAGCCCACGACAGTGGCGGCAGGTGCTTAGTTCGTAGTTGCCCAGGGAGCTGCGAGGTTTCGGTTGGGTGCGCTTACTCCCTACTCCGCCGTGCCTCGAAGGAACTCATGATCGTGGCGGCAATTGCGAAGTTCGCAGACTCCAAGGGGGCAGCCAGGTCCCGCCTAGGCGCGCGTACTCCCCTACTCCGCCGTGCCCCCATGAGCCCATTCCCTACTCCGCCGTGCCAGTTCGCAGCCACCCAGGGAGCTGCGAGGTCGAGGTCTCGGCTGGGTGCGCGTACCGGAGAAAGACAATCACAGTGTTGGGCGGGCGGGGTTGGGAAGATACAGGGTACGATTGTGTACTAAACATGTTCAATATGCGACGATCTGATCATTCTTCCCAACCCCATACTCCAAACGCGATACTTGTTTTCAGGAGTACTCCCCATATTCCGCCGTGCCTCCCAGGAGCCCACGAACGTGGCGACAGTTGCACAGTTCGCAGCCTCCCAGGGAGCTGCGAGGTCTCAAATGGATCTGCGCTGCTCTCACCTCCGCTGTGTCTCCCATGAGCCCACGGAAGTGGCGGTAGGTGTTTAGTGTGAGGTTTCCCGGCGAGTTGAAGGTCTCAAATGTATCTGCGCTGCCCCAACTCCGCCGTGCCTCCCAGGAGCCCACGACAGTGGCGGCAGGTGCTTAGTTCGTAGTTACCCAGGGAGCTGCGAGGTTTCGGTTGGGTGCGCTTACTCCCTACTCCGCCGTGCCTCGAAGGAACTCATGATCGTGGCGGCAATTGCGAAGTTCGCAGACTCCAAGGGGGCAGCCAGGTCCCGCCTAGGCGCGCGTACTCCCCTACTCCGCCGTGCCCCCATGAGCCCATTCCCTACTCCGCCGTGCCAGTTCGCAGCCACCCAGGGAGCTGCGAGGTCTCGGCTGGGTGCGCGTACCGGAGAAAGACAATCACAATGTTGGGCGGGCGGGGTTGGGAAGATACAGGGTACGATTGTGTACTAACATGTTCAATATGCGACGATCTGATCATTCTTCCCAACCCCATACTCCAAACCCGATACTTGTTTTCAGGAGTGCTCCCCATATTCCGCCGTGCCTCCCAGGAGCCCACGAACGTGGCGACAGTTGCGCAGTTCGCAGCCATCCAGGGAGCTGCGAGGTCTCAGCTGGGTGCGCGTACTCCGACGTGCATCCCAGGAGCCCACGAAAGTGGCGACGGTTGCACTGTTCGCAGCCACGCAGGGAGCTGCGAGGTTTCTGCTGGGTGCGCTTACCGACTATTCCGCCGTGCCTCTCAGGAGCCCACGAAACTGGCGACAGTTGTGCGGTACGCAGCCACCTAGGGAACTGCGAGGTCTCAGCTGGGTGCGCATGCTCCCCAGCTTCACAGGAGCCCAAGAAGTGGCGACGGTTGCGCAGTTCGCAGCCACACAGGGAGCTGCGAGGTGTCGGCCAGGTGCTACTCCCCTACTCCGCCGTGCCTCTCAGGAACCCGCGATTGTGGAGACGGTTGCGCAGTTCATAGCCCCCCAGGGAGCAGCGAGGTCCCGCCAGGGTCTGCGTACTCTCCTACTCCGCCGTGCCTCCCAGGAGCCCACGAAAGTGGCGACGATTGCGCAGCTCGCAGCCCCCCCAAGGAGCTGCGAGGTTTCGCCTGAATGCGCTTACCCCATACTCCTCCGTGTCTCCCAGGAGCCCACGCAATTGCCGACGGTTGCGCAGTTCACAGCCCCCAGGGAGTAGCGAGGGTCCGGCTGGGTTTGCGTGCTCCCCTACTCTGGCGTGCCCACCAGGAGCCCACGAACGTGACGACGGTTGCGCAGTCCGCAGCCCCCACGGCAGCAGCGCAGGAGGAGGCAGGAAGAGGGGGAGGAGAAGGAGGTGGAGACCACAGTGATCGATTCAAAACGAGAACGCAACACACAGGAGGCTTGTGAACTAGTACCCGTGACAACTGGTGAGGATCGATGGGGAGTGGGGCGGGCGAGGAGGAGGAGTTGGAAGCGGAGGAGGATAAGAGGAGGATGATGATGATGCTGCTGCTGCTGATGATGATGATGAGGAGGAGGAGGAGGAGGAGGAGGGCGATGAGTTGGAGGAATTAAGGAGGAGGAGGAGTAGGAGGAGGAGGAGGAGGAGGAGGAGGACGATGAGTTGGAGGAGTTAAGGAGGAGGAGGAGGAGGAGGAGGAGGAGGAGGAGGAGGAGGAGGAGGACCAAGAAAAGGAGATGGTTGAGGCGTAGGGAGAGAAGAATGAGGAGGCAAGGTGTATGAAGTGGAGGAAGTGGAGGGAGACGACAGGGAGAGGGAGGATGAGGGAGACAGGGACGAGATGGCATGCCCTTTCCCCCTCCCCTCGGGGGGAAGGCACGCGGAGGTGGAACAGAGCGGATGGGGACAGGGGGAGGATAAGGAGGAGGAGGATTATCATTATCATTATCATTAGTAATAAGCATACTGCTATTACTATCACTATTATTCTTATTCTTAGTATTGTTATTATTCTTATTACTCGTATTATGATTATGTTTATGATTAGTGTTCTAAATATTTTCATTCGTGTTTTATTATCAGTATTAGTATTATTATTATGATGATGCTGATGAAAGCGCGCCAGTGGATGACACTGTAATTGAAAAGGGGTGTGTGCTCGCAGAACTCCTCTTCCCCCCTCCCCCCTTAAGGAGGGGGGGTCCGACCCCCCCCCTCCCCCCCCCCTCCTCCCCTTGGCGCTGGAGGGGGGGGGGGAGGGGGTTCGACCCCCTCCCCTTCCTCCCCCCCTTTGCGCCGAACAGGGGGCCGGGGAGGGGGCCTCTCCCGCAAAGGGGGGGGTCCGGCCTCGGGATGGTGAGTAGTGAGTAGCGAGTAGAGACTAGTGTGTAGTGAGTAGTCAGTAGTGAGTAGTGAATAATGAATAGTGAGTAGTGAGTAGGTAGTAGCGAGTAGTGAGGAATTCGTAGTGAGTAGTGAGTAGTGAGTAGTGAGTAGGGAGTAGTGTGCAGTGAGTAGTGAGTACGGAGTAGTGAGTAGTGAGTAGTGGGTAGTGGGGAGTGGGTCGTGAGTAGTGCGTAGCGAGTAGAGCATTGTTCGCGGTGAGTTAATGAGGAGGGAGTAGTCAGTAGTGAGCAGTGAGTAGGGAGTTGTGAGTAGCGAGTAGGGAGTACGGAGTTGTGAGTAGTGAGTAGTGAGTAGCGAGTAGTGGGTAGTGGGGAGTGGGTGGTGAGTAGTGAGTAGCGAGTAGGGAGTAGCGAGTGGTAAATGGCGAGTGGCGAGTAGGACATTGTGAGTAGTGAGTTGTGAGGAGGGAGTAGTCAGTAGTGAGTAGTGAGTCGGGATTAGTGAATAGCGACTACGGAGTAGCGAGTAGTGCGTAGGGAGTAGTGCGTAGTGAGTAGTGAGTACTCAGTAGTGATTAGTGAGTAGTGAGAAGTGAGAAGTGGGTAGCGAGTAGTGGGTCGTGCGCATGGAGTAGCGAGTAGAGAGTAGTGAGTAGCGAGAAGCGAGTAGGGAGTAGCGAGTAGTGAGTACTGAGCAGTGAGTAGTTGATAGTGACGTGTGTCTAGTGAGTAGGGAGTAGGGAGTAGGGAGTATTGAGTAGTGAGTAGTGCGTAGTGGGTAGTGGATATTGCGTATCGGGTAGCGAGTAGCGAGTAGAGAGTAGCCAGTAGTGAGTAGTGAATAGTGAGTAGTGAGTAGTGAGCAGTGAGTACTGTGTAAGGAGCAGGCCGTAGCGAGTATCGAGCAGCGGATAGTGAGTAGTGAGTTGTAGGCAGTGAGTAGTGAGTAGTGAATTGTGAGTACTCGGTAGTGAGTAGGGGATAGTGGTTAGTGGGTAGTGAGTAGTGATTAGTGAGTAGTGTGTAGTGGGTAGAGAGTCGTGTTTAGTGAGTAGTGAATTTTGAGTTGTGGTAGTGAATAGTGAGTTTTGAGTAGTGAGTTGGGAGTAGTGAGTAGTGAGTAGTGAGAAGTGGGTAGTGGGTAGTGAGTAGTTGGTGGTGAGTAGTGAGTCGTGAGTAGTGAGCAGTGGGTAGCGAGAAGTGAGTAGTGGGTAGTGAACAGTGAAATGAGTACTGAGCGCTGTTTGGGGCTAGGGTTAGGGTTTGAGGTTGGGGCTACGGGTGGTCGGGGTGGTAGCGTTAGGGTTGGCAGGGGTCGGGCTCCAGAGCCATGTGGCGCCGTGGCGACGGGGGGGGGGGAATTTGGCGGCCAAAGGGGGGGAGGGGGGGGGGTTCGGACCCCCCCCTTTTGAAAGGAGGGGGGGTGTTCCCTGACGACGGACCGGGAAAGGGGGGGAGGGGGGAGGGGGGTTTCTTGACGACGGACCGGGAAAGCGGGGGAAGGGGGGGTTCCCCGACGACGGATCGGGGAAAGGGGAGGGGGGGGTTCCCCCCCCTTTTTGGGGCCATCCAGCGGCGCGCCCTCGCTGATGATGATGATGATGATTATTCTTATGACGGTGGCTAGTATAATTATTTAATCGATTCGCTCATTCCGTCGGCCCTCGAGCGCTCTATGGGGCCTCTTTGAAGCCTCTTGGGGGCCTCTCTGGGGCCTCCTAGGGGCCTCTTTGGGGCCTCTTGGGGGTCTCTTGGGGCTCCTTGGCGGCGTCTTGGGGCCCCCTTGGGCCTCTTGGGGGGCTCTTGGGGGCTTCTTGGGGCGGGGTAGTCGAGTGCACCCCCCTCGGAGGCCACGATCCTCGTGAGGGGTGTCGAAAAAACCCTCAAAACCATCTCTGGGTAGACTTGGTCGGGCTGCGGTCGGGATGCTTTTCGCCCGGGGACCCCCCGGGGCCGCCCCGCGCGCGCGAACTAGAAATATTGTCACAAGTTACCGGAGATCTTAACACGCCTCTGGCCCGTTGGGCCGGCGAATTTTTATTACTCCTAGTAGTAGTAGTAGTAGTAGTAGTAGTAGTAGTAGTAGTAGTAGTAGTAGTAGTAGTAGTAGTAGTAGTAGTAGTAGTAGTAGTAGTAGTAGTAGTAGTAAGTAGTAGTAGTAGTAGTAGTAGTAGTAGTAGTAGTAGTAGTAGTAGTAGTAGTAGTAGTAGTAGTAGTAGTAGTAGTAGTAGTAGTAGTAGTAGTAGTAGTAGTAGTAGTAGTAGTAGTAGTAGTAGTAGTAGTAGTAGTAGTAGTAGTAGTAGTAGTAGTGGTCGTAGTAATAGTAGCAGTAGTAAAAATAGTAGTCGTAGTAGTAGTAGTAGTAGTAGTAGTAGTAGTAGTAGTAGTAGTAGTAGTAGTAGTAGTAGTAGTAGTAGTACAAGTAGTAGTAGTAGTAGTAGTAGTAGTAGTAGTAGTAGTAGTAGTAGTAGTAGTAGTAGTAGTAGTAGTAGTAGTAGTAGTAGTAGTAGTAGTAGTAGTAGTAGTAGTAGTAGTAGTAGTAGTAGTAGTAGTGGTAGTAGTAGTCGTAGTCGTAGCAGCCGTATTGTTATTATTATTATTAGTAGTAGTAGTCAGTAGTAGTGTTTGTCGTAGTAGTAATGGTAGTAGTAGTAGTAGTAGTAGTAGTGCTAGTAGTAGTAGTAGTAGTAGTAGTAGTAGTAGTAGAAGTAGTCGTAGTCGTAGTAGTAGTAGTAGTAGTAGTAGTAGTAGTAGTAGTAGTAGTAGTAGTAGTAGTAGTAGTAGTGGACGTAGTAGTAGTTCGCGCCACCATACGTGTCGTCAGGGCGGGCTGGTCGTGTAGCCTGAGTCCTCTTCATCGTTTACGATCTGTAAGCTGGCTTTTTCCAACAGTGGCGCGACTGCAGGGCAAACTGTTTTCAACATGGGGCTCTCGCCTTAGCGCAGCGCAGGCTCGTGCTAACAATGCCAACAATCACACGGATGGAGGGCACTCGCTTTCCACCTGGGGATATCGCCCTGGCGGCCGCGCACTCTCGTCTCAAAGAATTCCAGCAGCTACGCGGATGGAGGGCGAGCCACCTCTCAAGGGAGTTTTGGATTTGTTTTTGAATAGCAAGTGGGTGCCCGACCTGCGCAGGCCAGCCTGGCCGGGTTCCTTGGTCTTGGTTGCTTGGTTCTTGGCTCTTGGTTCCTTGCTGTGTTCCTGGGGTTCCTGGTTCTTGGTTCCTTGGTCTTGGTTCCTGCTTTTTTTGGTCTTGGTTCCGTGGTTCCTTGGTTCCCTGGCTCCTCAGTCTTGGTTCCTGGGTCTTGGTTACTTGGTTCATTGGTCTAGGCTCGTTGCTGTCTCGCATCGCAATGCCAAGCAACGCAACGCAGTGCCACGCAATGCCACGCAATGCCAAGCAATGCCAAGCAATGCCACGCAATGCCAAGCAATATGCCAAGCAATCTGCCAAGCAACATGCCAAACAGTATGCCACGCAATGCCACGCAATGCACCCGTGCAGTGGGAAGCAAGCAACATGCCAAGCAATCTGCCAAGCAACATGCCAAGAAATATGCCACGCAATGCCACGCAACGCGCCCATACAGTGGGAAGCTTTCCCCCCAATTGGGTTCGCACCGGGTTCGTTTCAACAAGTCTCTCCATCCTCGATCCTCCTCCCCCTCCTCCCCCTCGTCCTCGTCGTTCTCGTCGTCGTCGTTGTCGTCGTCGTCTTCATCGTCGTCGTCGCTGGTCACGTCCCCGAGGCCCACGCGCGGCTACAAGTCGGGGGCAGATCTCTTCACCCCAGCCGCCACGTCGTCGCTCACTGGGAAATTCCAGTTTTCTTTTGCAGCAGCTGCGGATTACAAAACATGCGTAGTTATGTACGATTACTCGTATATGTGTGTATATATATGTATGTATATACATCTACATACATGTATAGTTGTAAATGTACGTTTGTAAATCTATACATTTCTGTGTGTGTGTGCCCGAGAGGGCGGAGCCCTCAGGAACCTTGCCGTGGAGTGTCGTCCGCGGACGACAGGCGGAAAACGGAACCTGGACCAGCTTACCAAACGCACATGGCCCGGGAGCTCTTCGGGCTGCTGCAGAATGCAATCAAATGAGCGGCCTTCGCCGACCCATGGCGAAGGCGAGGGTGCAGGCCTCAAAGTAATACCATATCGAGCACGGCTCAGCGGAGCAATCAACAAAAATGCCGTGGTCGTCGTCGTCGTCGTCGTCGTCGTCGTCGTCGTCGTCGTCGTCGTCGTCGTCGTCCTCGCCGCCTGGCAGGGCTGGGCGGCGAGGGGTGGCCGCGACCGCCGGCGCGGCGCCCCCTGCGGCTGGGGCCAGCCCGCCCGCAGGGGGCCCTGGAAGGCACGGCCCGCTCGGGGGCGGCGGGAGGAAGGAGGGAGCTCGGTCACATTCAGGGGGGGGGAAGCACAGACACAGATAATCGTCGATTCCCAGGAAAATGCCGGAAAATATGGGAAGTGGGGGGGGAAGACGAAAACCCAAAAATATAGGAAAATATGAGGGGATCCTGGGATCTGTGTGCATTTATTTGCGTGTCCTCGGGCCCCTGTATACACCTCAGAGGGACCCTCCGCCAAAGTGACCTTTGGTGCGGGCCCATTGGCGCCCCTCGATTCCGGAGCGATGGACCAGCACCGGCTTGCGCGCTTGGGCTTGGCCCCCTCCCCGCGCAGCAACGGCCACTCTTGCCTAGGGTCACTCTTGCGTGTAGCCGCGTAGCCGCCGGGAGATCGAGGCGGCAAGGCTTCACGGGCATCCGGCGTCCCGAAACATCGGCATGGAGGTTTTTCATAGTCTTCGGCCTCTCAAGGCCCTTGCTGGGCATCGAGGCCATCAGGGAACGACTCGGGAGAAAAGAGCGGTCGGAAAGTGGTCGAGAGGTCAGGGGCCCTTGTTCCGAAACAGCAGCGATACGCTGGATGTGTAGGTTCGGGTTGCGCACGGACAGCCCCCTGAGCAGTCCTGGCTGGCCTCGACAGGCCCTCCGAGTAGTCGAGGCTGGCCGCGACAGGCCAGTCCAGGGCGGTCTCAACCGCCTGGCGCCGCCTGGGGCGCTTCGCGCCCCTGGGTGGAGGCGCCGAGGCCGCCCTGGACGAGTCGGGCAGCCAGGACTCTACCCGATGGGGGCTGTCTGTGCGCGGCCCGAAGCCTTACCGTCGAGGCTCGGCGCCGGCCCACGAAGCCCGCGCGGACCTCTGCCGAGGAGTGCAGGGGAGTGAGGGAGGGGGGGCGTCCCCTGCCAGACGGCTTCCATAGGCATCTCAGCACAGGGAGCCTCAGAGTGAAGGCTCCTGCACGCGTTCCGACCGCACTTCTCAGGAATCCAACATTTTCCAGGCCCCGGCTCTGGGCGGGAGGTGGGGGGCGGGCGAGGGGTGAGCGGAGGATCAAGCTAGGTGCGCTCGTGCCATATCTGACATCCTTCGCGCTCGCGCAACATCTGACATTCTTTCTCTCCCACCAATTCACTCCCATTCTGCTGATTTTTCTCTATCTGCCGACGGGTGTCATAGCGGACCTGGAACCCCCCACAGGATCCCATCGCGCTGTGCGCAATCTGAAGAAAAGGGGAGCCGTGTACATTAGAGAAGGAGGTGGCGGATTAGCAGGAGGAGGAGCAGGAGGAAGATGATGACAGAGTCCGACAGTGACAGTGCCGGAGGAAGAGGAGGAGGAGGAGGAGGAGGACGAGCTCGAGAATGCGGAGGAGGATGAGGAGGAGGAGGAGGAGGAATAATACGACTATACAAAAGACGAATACTCAAATACTAATACTACCACTGCGGCGACTACTACTTTAGTTTTACTACTGCCACTACGATTGATAGTCGTATTGCGACGATTCTATTGTCACTACCACGATTCTTACCCTTTCTACTAGTACGAGTAATATTCATACTGGTAGTCGTATGACCAGCAGTCATGAGACCATAGTGCTACTCATGCGAGCAAGATTCATGACACTCATAGTAAGATTACGAGTGCTACCACTAATCGTACTAGTGATACTTGTCGTCGTCGTAGTAGTAGTAGTAGTAGTAGTCGTAGTGGCAGTGGTAAAAGTAGTAGTCGTAGTCGTAGTCGTAGTCGTAGTCGTAGTCGTAGTAGTAGTAGTAGTAGTAGTAGTAGTAGTAGTAGTAGTAGTAGTAGTAGTCGTAGTAGTCGTAGTAGTAGTAGTAGTAGTAGTAGTAGTCGGGGTAGTCGTAGTAGTAGTAGTAGTAGTAGTAGTAGTAGTAGTAGTAATAGTAGTAGTAGTAGTAGTAGTAGTTAGTAGTAGTAGTAGTAGTAGTAGTATGTAGTAGTAGCAGTAGTAGTAGTAGTGTAGTAGTAGTAGTAGTAGTCGTAGTAGTAGTAGTAGTAGTAGTAGTAGTAGTAAGTAGTAGTAGTAGTAGTAGTAAGTAGTAGTAGTAGTAGTAGAAGTAGTAGTAGTAGTAGTAGTAGTAGTAGTAGTAGTCGTAGTAGTAGTAGTAGTGTGTAGTAGTAGAGGTAGTAGTCGTAGTAGTAGTAGTCGTAGTAGTAGTAGTAGTAGTCGTAGTCGTAGTAGTAGTCGTAGTAGTATCAGTAGTAGTAGTAGTAGTAGTAGTAGTAGTAGTAGTGATAACAGGGGTGTTAGTATAAGTAGTAGTAGTAGCAGTAGCAGTAGTAGTAGTAGTAGTAGTTGTAGTCGTAATCGTAGTAGTAGTAGTAGTAGTAGTAGTAGTAGTAGTCGTCGTAGTAGTAGTAGTCGTCGTAGTAGTAGTAGTAGTAGTCGTAGTCGTAGTCGTAGTAGTAGCGTCGTAGTCTTAGTCGTAGTCGTAGTCGTAGTGGTAGTAGCAGTAGTCGTAGTAGTAGTAGTAGTAGTAGTCGTCGTAGTCGTAGAACAACTAGTAATCGTAGCCGGAGTAGTATTGGCAGTCCCAGTCATAGTGTCAGTAGTAGTAGGAGGAGTAGTCGTATACCTCGTGGTATTAGGTTCAGTCGTAGTCGTAGTAGTAGTAGTAGTAGTAGTAGTAGTCGTAGTAGTAGTAGTAGTAGTAGTAGTAGTAGAAGTAGAAGTAGGAGTAATAATAATCGTAGTAATAGTAGTAGAAGTAGTGGTAGTAGTAGTCGTAGTACTTGTAGTAGTAGTGGTGGTCGTAGTGGTAGTAGTCGTAGTAGTAGTAGTAGTAGTAGTAGTAGTAGCAATAGTCGTAGTAGTTGTAGTAGTTGTGGTAGTAGTAGTAGTAGTAGTAGTAGTAGTAGCAGTCGTAGTAGTAGTATTCGACGCAGTCGTACTCGTAGTCATCACCGTAAGAAGTAGCAGTAGCAGTAACAGCTGTTTCAGTAGCCGGACTAATCGTAGTCGTAGTCGTAGCCTTAGTCGTAGCAGTAGTAGTTTTAGTAGTAGTGGTCGTAGTCGTCGTAGTCGTCGTAGTAGTAGTAATAGTAATAATAGTAATAGTCGTAGCAGGGGTAGTCGTAGTAGTGGTAGTAGTAGTAGTAGTAGTAGTAGTCGTAGTCGTAGTAGTAGTAGTAATAGCAGTAGTAGTAGTGGGAATCGTAATCGTAGTGGCAGTACAAGTAGTAGTACAAGTCATAGTAGCAGAAATAGTGGCAGTCGCAGTTGTAGCAGTACAACTCGTCGTAGTTGTAGGTGCGGTAGACGTAGTAGTCGTAGTGGCACTAGTCGTAGTCGTAGTAGTAGTAGTCGTAGTCGTAGTAGGAGTAGTAGTAGTAGTAGTAGTAGTAGTAGTAGTAGTAGTAGTACTTGTAAGACTAGTAGTAGTAGTAGTAGTAGTAGTAGTAGTCGTAGTAGTAGTGGTGGTGGTAGTAGTAGTAGTAGTAGTAGTAGTAATAGTTGCAGGTGTGACTGTAGCAGTTGTTCTAGTAGGAATCGTAATAGTAGTAGTCGTAGTAGTAGTAGTAGTAGTCGTAGTAGTAGTCGTGGTAGTAGTAGTAGTAGTAGTAGTAGTAGTAGTAGTAGTGGTAGTAGTCGTAGTCGTAGTCGTAGTAGTAGTAGTAGTAGTAGTAGTAGTAGTAGTAGTAGTAGTAGTATTAGTAGTAGTCGTAGTAGTAGTAATTGTCGACTTAGTCGTAGTCGCAGTAGTAGTAGTTTTATTTGTCGTAGTAGCCGTAGTCGTCTTATAGGAATTTGTCGTAGTAGTAGTAGTAGTAGTAATAGTAGTAGTAGTAGTAGTAGTAGGAGTAGTACGGGTAGTAGTCGGAGTACTAGGGTTCATAATCGTAGGAGTAGTAGGTGCAGTAGTAGTAGTAGTAGTAGTAGTAGTAATCGTAGAAGTAGTAGTAGTAGTAGTAGTAGTAGTAGTAGGAGTCGTTATCGCAGTTCTTGTTGTCGTAGTAGTAGTAGTAGTCGCCTTTGTGGTCGTAGTCGTAATACGAACAGTAATAGTAGTAGTAGTAGTAGAAGTAGTAGTAGCAGTAGCAGTAGTAGTATCAGCAGCAGTAGCAGTAGTAGTAGTAGTAGTAGTAGTAGTAGTAGTAGTAGTCGTAGCAGTAGTAGTAGTAGTGTAGGCAGTGGTAGCCGTAGTAGTAGTAGTAGTAGTAGTAGTAGTAGTAGTAGTAGTAATAGTAGTAGTAGTAGTAGTAGTAGTAGTAGTAGTAGTGGTAGTGGTAGTCGTATTAGCCGTAGTCACAGTAGTATTAACTAGTAGTAGTAGCACTAGTAGTAGTCGTAGTAGTAGTAGTAGTAGCAGCAGTATTAGTAGTCGTGATCGTAGTAATAATGGTAGAAGTTGAAGTCGTAGTAGCAGTAGGAGTAGTAGCAGTCGGAGTAGTAGTAGTAGTAGTAGTAGTAGTCGTACTATTAATAGTAGTAGTAGTAGTAGCAGTCGTACTACCAGGACTCGTAATCCTCGTAGTTGTCGTAGTCGTCGTCTTGGTAGTAGGAGTAGTAGTAGTAGAAGTAGTAGTAGTAGTAGTAGTAGTGGTAGTAGTAGTCGTAGTCGTAGTCGTAGTCGTAGTAGTAGTAGCCGTCGTAGTTGCAGTAGTAGTTGTAGTAGTAGTAGTAGTAGTAGTAGTAGTGGTCGTAGTAGTAGTAGTAGTAGTAGTAGTAGTAGTAATAGTAGTAGTCGTAGTAGTCGTAGTAGTAGAAGTAGTAGTAGTAGTAGTAGTAGTAGTAGTAGTAGTTGTAGCCGTAGTAGTAGTAGTAGTAGTAGTAGTAGTAGTAGTAGTAGTAGTGGTAGTTATACTAATATTAATTTTAGTAGTCGTAGTCGTAGCAGTAGTAGTAGTAGTAGTAGTAGGAGTAGTAGTAGTAGTAGTAGTAGTAGTAGTAGTAGTAGTAGTAGTAGTCGTAGTAGTAGTCCTTGTCGTAGCTGTAAAAAGGGGTAGTAGTAGTAGTAGCAGCATCAGTAGTAGTAGTAGTAGTAGTAGTCGTCGTCGTAGTCGTTGTCGTAGTCGTTGTAGTAGTAGTCGTAGTAGCAGTAGTAGTAGTAGTAGTAGTAGTAGTAATAGTAGTAGTAGTAGTAGTAGTAGTAGTAGTAGTAGTAGTCGTAGTCGCAGTAGCAGTCGTAGTAGTCGTAGCAGCAGCAGCAGCGGCAGCAGCAGCAGCAGCAGCAGCAGTAGTAGTCGTAGTCGTAGTAGTAGTAGTAGTAGTAGTGGTAGTGGTAGTGGTAGTGGTAGTAGTAGTCGTAGTAGTAGTAGTAGCAGTAGTAGTCGTTGTCGTAGTCGTAGTATTCGTATACGTTTGAGTATCTGTGCTAGTAGTAGCAGTAGTAGTAGTCGTAGTAGTAGCAGTAGTAGAAGTAGTAGTCGTAGTAGTGGTAGTAGTAGCCTTAGTTTTAGTAGTAGCAGTCGTAGTCGTCGTCGTAGTAGTCGTAGTAGTAGTAGTAGTAGTAGTAGTAGTAGTAGTAGTAGTGGTAGTAGTAGTAGTAGTAGTAGTAGTAGTAGTAGTAAGAGTAGTAGTAGTAGTAGTAGTAGTAGTAGTAGTAGTAGTAGTAGTAGTAGCGGTAGTAGTAGTAGCGGTGGTGGTGGTACGAGTATTAGTCGAAGTAGTCGTAGTCGAAGTCGTAGTCGTAGGCGTAGTCGTAGACGTAGTCGTCGTCGTCGTTGTCGTTGTCGTCATCGTCATCGTTGTCGGCGTCGTCGTTGTAGCAGTGAGTAGGTAGGTAGTAGTAGTAGTAGTAGTAGTAGTAGTAGTAGTAGTAGTAGTAGTGGTAGTGGTAGTAGTAGCAGTAGTAGTAGTAGTAGTAGTAGTAGTAGTCGTAGTCGTAGTCGTAGTCGTACTACTAGTAGTAGTAGTAGTAGTAGTAGTAGTAGTAGTAGTAGTAGTAGTAGTAGTAGTGGACGTAGTAGTAGTAATAACCGTAGTAGTAGCAGTAGTGGTAGTAGTAGTAGTAGGAATAGTAGTAGTAGTGGTAGCAGTAGTAGTAGTAGTAGTA